TAAATTATTAAGAAAAGTATTATTAGATGAGTATTTAATAATTCTAATATTGTTAATTTTAATGTTGTTAAAAGCAGTTATTATGTAGATAGGTATCTAATATTCTTAATTTTAATTTGTTTTTATTCCACTGAATTACGGATTATATTATTGATTTCCTTTTAATTTAGTATGGATTATGTTGTTAATTTCTTTTTTAATCTAGTCTAAATATTTTACCAGACGATTTAATCTCAGGTTTAGTTTTCTCGATTTTTATTAACAATGCCTTTTTCTGTGCAGATCAGATCAGATGATGACGAATGATATTGTATGATGAGGTAAGATGGCAGACAACATTCCAATATGTTTTTTTTTTTTTTTTACTAAATATTTTAACTGAAAGACATTTTTCAAAATACTCCGAAATGTGTTCTTTTTTTTCTGTCCATAATGAATGAGATGATGGTATTGGTATAGGCGCAGACAAACATTTACTTTTTTTTATTTCTTTATATGTGCTATTTTTTTTTTTTTTTGTTGAAATTTTTGCATAACTTGTATATTGTATATTATATTTGTTTAATTTATGTCTAACAGAGGAATTATATTAAAAAATAAGGCTCTTATCTGTAATGATAAATGTCGATTAATAAACAATTGATATTTCACAGTATTATTATAAATCATCTCTATTGGAAATGATCATTTTAATCATATTTGATCCTATTTTCGTGCAATTAAATGAAATTTTTTTTCATAAATAATATGGCAATCAATATTATTTTTAAAATTTAAAACCGTCAATCTTTTGTAGGATAAAATTAATTAAAATTTAATTGTAATATATCAATTTAAATGATATCCAGTGATAAAGATAATATATTTTTGACAACTAAGAATTTTTTTATTCAATGAATTTGCTTTAATTTTCCTAATTAATTTTATCATACAAAAGATTGACGGTTTTAAATTGTTGAAATGATAACTAAACCCTTCAGAGGTGCAATGATGTGTTATCACTGCTGGAACGATGTCGTTGACCTTACACTCCACGACAATGAATACGAAATTCAGCAATTTATGAATTCGCATTAAATTAAACCCTTCATTGATTTTGTCTGGCCTTTTTGACCGATCGTTTTAAACGAATGAATTTTTAATATATCATACTAATTTTATCATCTTCACACTTATCACCTTCACTCTTGAGCTTTTCATTATCAGATCAAACATGCATTATCACTATATACCTAGATGTAGTGATAATGTACATTGCCACTATATGTACAGAGATTATTATTTTCTTTTTCATTTTTAAATTTAAACCATTAATTATTCAATAACCTAATCTATATTTATAATCATTAATTCATCCTAATAAAATTATAGCTATTCGAAAGTAATAATATTAGAATGTTGTGAAAGAGAAATTTAATCAGATGATCATTTTTATTGCCATTTTTTAAGCAAATAAGATAAATTACACAACAGGTATGATTAAAGTAAATTGTAAAAGATTTATTTAGACTAAATTGTGGGGACAAATACGAGAGGATTATTTACCTGAAAAAAGTTTATTTTATTTAAATGTAAATAGGTAATAAAGAGAAAAAGAGGGGAAGAAAGGGAGAGAGAGAGAGAGAGAGAAAGATAATTACAAACAATTAAAAAATGAAGGAATGAATTGTGAAAAAAAAAATAAGATGAAATACTCAAAAACTAGAATTTCTTTCATTCATAAAATTTTCGGAAAAGGAGGAATGATATTGGTCAATGAGTGGTCAGTAAAAAGGAAATGTACAAAATGTTAATGCTTCTTGATTGTTTATTATCCCTTTAACATTTTTTTTTGTCCTCTATTTAAATATAAATATCATTTTCTCTCTCTCTCTCTCTCTCCCTCTCTCTCTCTCTTCCTCATTTCATTCACATCATTTTCATTGTAATAAAATATTTTCCTATGTTAAAATTCTCATTTATTCGTTTTTTTTTTTTCAATATTATTATCATAACTGTATATGAACGAAAGACTATACAATCAGTTTCGAAAATATTTTTTATTATTCAATTTTTACTCTTTTTTTTAAAATGTTTATTTTACCATTAACCAACAAAAATTTCATTATTATCGTTCCAAAAAGAAAATCTTTTTCAAATTAATTTCAAATATATAAAATGAATTGAAAATAATAGGATTGCAGGATGGGTGATTCATACATCCGATTGACCTCATTAAAAATTTTCCAATTAATCTATACTTTGTGTACACAAAATGTTCAATGAGCAATTTTGATTTGCTCTTATTTTAACCGATAATATCATGATAAAATTTCTACAAATACATTATGATCTGTTTACTCTTTAATCATTATCATTTCTCTCACAAAATTCAACTTTTCAGATTTAATTCCGTATAAGCAAAGGAGAGAGAGAGAGAGAGAGAGAGAGAGAGAGAGA